AGGCGTCTTGGAACCCAGGGCTTGGGTCTCGATGGAACCCAGAGCCTGGGTTCGATCCACCGTAACCGCCCCATATATAAAAAATAATCAAATTAAACCGTACAAAATGAGCTTAAGAAAATGGTAAGTCCACCGTAACTGCCCCCTATATATCGCTTCTGCTTCGGTTGCCTACTTTCATCCGCAAAGGCTATGCAGCAGAGCAAAGTGAGAAACAGAGAAGCGTAGACCTTGAACAAGAAAACAAATAATAATTTTCTTAACCTTCAACGCGTCCATTAATGTTCTCTGCCCTGCTCTTCATTTAAAACCCTCACACTGTCTCATCTCTTTTTCTTTGACTTCCTTTCCCTTTCTGACTTTTCGCCACATTTGAATTCAGAGGTCGAACAGAGGAGCTTAAAAAGAAACTTCAGAGGTTTAATTTTGTTTCTTGGGATTTTGATTTTTGGTTTTCCTTCCATGGATTCTTGTAAAGATCACCAACAAGAACGGGAGTCCAAGTGTTTGCGGGTTAATGGGCCTATCATTGTAGGTGCAGGGCCGTCGGGTCTGGCGGCGGCCGCTTGTCTTACTCAACAGGGGGTGCCTTCCCTTGTTCTTGAAAGATCCGACTGCGTAGCTTCTCTCTGGCAGCACCGTACCTATGATCGTCTCAAGCTCCATCTCCCCAAGAAATTTTGCCAACTTCCTCTTTTGGGTTTCCCGGAGGATTTTCCCGAATACCCAACCAAGCAACAGTTCATCTCTTACATGGAGTCCTACGCTGCGCATTTCTCAATCCGGCCCCGGTTCAACCAAGCTGTTCAAACGGCGGAGTTCGATTCTGGGTCTGGGTTCTGGAGGGTGAAAACTCAGGATTCTGAGTACATTTCTTGGTGGCTCATCGTTGCCACAGGAGAAAATGCTGAGCCTGTGAAATCGGACGTTCCGGGTATAGCCAAGTTCCACGGCCCTGTTGTGCATACCAGTGCTTATAAGTCTGGTTCCGAGTTCAAAAACCAGAAAGTTCTCGTCGTTGGATGTGGAAATTCCGGGATGGAAGTCAGCTTGGACCTCTGCCGTCACAATGCAATCCCTCACATGGTTGTTAGAAACACAGTAAGTTAAAGTGCCCTAAAAATTCAAATCCCCTGTTTAACATGTTTTGATTTTGCTGAAAAAATTCAAGTCCCCTGTTTGATTTTTCTTTCCTTTTTGAAGGTGCATGTATTGCCTCGAGAGATGTTCGGTTTCTCAACATTCGGAATAGCCATGGCTCTGCTCGGGTGGTTTTCCCTACGGCTAGTAGACAAGTTCCTGCTTCTAATGGCAAACTTGACCTTAGGCAACACAGACCATTTAGGCCTCCGGCGACCCAAAACCGGTCCAATTGAGCTCAAAAACGTCACTGGAAAGACTCCAGTGCTCGATGTCGGAGCACTTTCACAAATAAAATCCGGTAAAATCAAGGTAAACATCATTCACTTTATTCCACCAAAAGTCAAGGTAATTTCTTCTCCTTTCTTCTGGGTTTTAACTAGTATTGTAAGGGTATATGCAGGTAATGAAAGGGGTGAAGGAGATAACAAGAAATGGAGCAAAGTTCATGGATGGACAAGAGAAGCGGTTCGATTCCATAATCTTAGCAACTGGGTATAAGAGTAATGTGCCCACTTGGCTCAAGGTAAGAAGGAATTGAGCTTTTGTAATTTTATAAAATTTTTGTTTGGTTTTTAGTTGTATCTTGTTTTGAATCATATCTCGCTTTCTGCACTTGGACACTAGTTTAGAGACAAAGAAGCTTACGAATTCTCTTCTTTTGTATCTTCATGCAAAACAACATAAGATCAGTCAAGGCTCTGCCCTCGGTTTATTCCAATCTGCCCCCCTTCAATTTTTGTTTTGGGGAAAAAAAAATATTAGACTGAATTCCTGGTGGGGACCTACCATGAAATTTATGCGCTTAGGAAGAATACATTTTAGCCCTTTATTATTATTATTATTATTTTTTGGTTACCATACATTTTAGCTACTCTTAACACTTTATTTGGACAGCTCGGAATGGTTAAAAATATAAAATGTTAAGTTAGGGATTCTAGATTTAAATTGTTGTTAGGGTGTGAAAAGTAATTTAAGAAAATTTTTTTTTTTAA